TTATACTAACATGAATGTATTAAATGATCTGTATGTAGCCCTGTACCCCCTTTTCCACTTACAGAGCTAGGTTATTTTTCTTTTAAATAAATATTAATGTAATTTTATTGGTATCTATCTACCAGTAGCTGCCTCATTTCCCACCCTCGGCTTATATTCGGGACGGCTTATACTCGAGTATATACGGTAGTAATATACACATCGGTCTTTGATCTCCAGGAATACCCCCTTCTTTGTTTCAATGTTTTTTCAGCTTCTATTGTCCAGTTTTACTGAGCCCTTGTGATTTGTAGCCTCAGTTTCCTGTTCTTAGCTGCTATAGCCCATCTGCTTCAAGGTTCGACATGTTATTTGAGTTACTGTTGCCTTTCTATCAGCTTTGAACCTGGCCATTCTCCTCTAACCTCTGGTGTCAACAAGGCTTTTTTCACCCAGAGAACTACCATTCACTGGATATTTTGCTCTTTTTTAGACCATTCTTTGTAAACCCTAGAGATGGTTGTGCATGAAAATCCAAGTAGATGAGCAGTTTCTGATTGAACTCAAACCAGCCCTGAGTATTTGACATCAACATCTGACATCAACAACCATGCCACATTCAAAGTCACTTAAATCACCTTTCTTCCCCATTCTGATGCTCATTTTGAGCTTCAGCAGATTGTCTCTCTGTCTACATGCTTGAGGGCCAGTTCACAGCACAAACTCCGCGTTCCAGTGCGTTTGGCCTCTGGAACGCAAGCCGGTCGGCTCCCTGCGTTCAGGGCCGGGAGGGGGAGTGGCTGTGCATTGAAGTCAATGGCACCACAGCCACACACACCCCCCCCCCCGCAGTGCGATCGCCCGCACCCGGAACGCAGGCACATTAGGTAAATGTTAAAATATTTACATAATAACAATATTTCATACCAGACAGGCAGACAGTAACATTAGTAAAATAAATAAAAGTGACCCTTAGCAAAGTCTTTGCTTCTATGCAAGTCAAATCCGATATTGGAGTCACTGACTCATGAATGACCTTCATAGTTCTGAGAGGTGTGCTGAGGTGTTTTATGATGCTCTCAGACACTCCTTTAATGCGAAATGTTCTAAATGCATCTATATTTCCACTTGCCTCTGCCTTTAAGATTGTAAGCCCTCAGGGGCAGGGCCCTCCTTACCATCTTTTCTTGAATTGTATTGTGGTTTTAATGTCTTCCTTATATTGTAAAGCGCTGCACAAACTGTTGGCGCTATATAAATCCTGTATAATAATAATAATAAATGAAAAGGGTTTTAGGCTTTGATAATCAGAGTTATACGTTTCTCCAAGGAGGTCCAATGTCCTCCTAAGACTCCTGGGCCTAGTAACATAGATGTGTTTGATGTCTAACTGTTTGTTATTTTCCTATAATTTAGCATAATCAATTTTTATTAATCTAATTCTATCATAGCAGGAATTATGGAAATTGTACGAAATGTATCTCTGTGTAGTTCAAGAACCAGACTTGCATATTTGTATTGGGAAGTCACATACTAGATAGGGTATTTACAACATGTCTTCATTAGAAGACTTTGGCTTTCATAGCTGCCTCTGTCCTGTCAATGGTACTTTAACTGGAATGTTTTAATGGGATTTTTAATGCCTCTGCTTTTGCTAGAGGTGTCTTGGGCTGTGCTGTGAGAGGGGTGTTATATGAAGTGTCTTACCGTCTCTGGCAACTCCAGATGTATTTGACTTTTTTTTTGTTGCTGACTTTATAAGAAATTAGGTGAAACGATGTTCATGAGGACTTTCCCACTCAATTTATGGTCTGGTTTGAACTTAAGGGTGAACATTATGCAATTTTTTCCTGTTTTGTGTACTTTAAAAATGGCAAATTCAAACCACACCCTTATCCATACATACAATCTGAATGGCTAGGAAAGGGAGGAGAGTGAGGGTGCAACCATACCAAGCCACAGGCCTTCAATATTGGGAGGGTATCTTGCAAGGGGGTTGGCCAAGCCCCCTTCCATGCAATACACCTTTTACCCATGTTGAGGGGACAAAGACCTCATCCCAAAAACCTGTACTCAAGAGGATTGGGGGGGGGGTTTGGAAGTAAAGAGGCATCCATTAATGAAAGGGTTAACCTTTTCCAGACACCCGATTCCTGAAGATCGGGTGTCTGAGAGTCAAAGCAGAGCCGCAAATGTTTTTTCTTTCACTTTCAGGAATGGATACATAATGTATCTATTCCTGAAAGAAGAATGTTTCAGTTTTCTGATCATTGTTGGAACGATCAGAAAACCTTTAGTGACAGCTGAATCCTGAACTGCTGCAGGATCAGTGTCACTAACTTATTATTGGCTGTTCTGAAGTTTGAAGCAGCCTAATAATAACCAAACATTTATTAATTTATCAAACAGTAATAGTGAGATTAATTCACAATGACTGCTTGATATAATTAAATAAGTAAAATACAATTTTTAAAAGTTTAAAAAAATAGTGAAAAGTGTAAAAAAAAAATAGTGAAAAGTGTAAAATTAAAAATAAAATAAAGGACAAATAAATTTATATATTTATTGCATTTTTTTTTTTTTAGCTGTGCTGGTTTTGTAAAAAATATTATAAATCAAAACTGGAAAAAGTTTTTTTTTTTAAACGTTTTTTCCATTTTATTTGTCCTAAGTGATGCATTAGACACACATATGTGATATAAATATATAGCCCTATCTGTCCTCTAAAAAACAATATATAATATGTGTGGGTGCACTTTGTAAGAAAGTATATTATTGACGTGGAAGAATCACACAGCAAAAATGTCAGTCGTGTGTCAGTCATTTACGAACAGAAACTAAAAACAAGCTCAGTCATGAAGGCGTTAAAGGAGCAGTGATTTTAACAGGGTAAGAATAAAAATGAAAAATTCCTTCAAATATCGTGCCTAGGGGGTCCCTTGAACCTGCCTGTGAAGTGGCGGATCTGTACGATGTATAGAACCTGCTGCAGCAAAACTGCAGCAGGTTCTATGCATCGTATAGAACCTGCTGCAGTGTGCAGTTCCTTTTAGGTCTGGTAGGAATGTTAGGAGGGACCATTTAAAAAATAAAAGCGTAGGATACCCCCTAAAAGTCATACCTCACCCTTAAGATCTCGTAGGAATATTCAGGAGGGACCTCGTGTACAAAAAAAACGAATAAAAGTGTGTGGTTCCCCCTCAAAGTCATACCAGGCCCTTAAGGTCTGGTAGGAATATTGAGGAGGGACCCCACGTAAAAAAACAAACAAAAATGTGTGTGGGGTCCCCCCTTAAAGTCATACCAGGCCCTTAAGGTCTGGTAGGAATTTTAAGGAGGAACCCCACCCCACAAAATGGGGGGAAAAAACATGGGGCCCCCCTAAAATTACATACCGGACCCTTGATCCGAGCATAGGCCTCGCTCGTCCCCCCCCCCC